TTTTAGTAGAGATGGGGTTTTGCCATGTGGGCCAGGCTGGTTTCGAACTCCTGGCCTGAAGTGATCCACCCACCCTGGCCTCCCAAAGTGCTGGGATTACAGGCTTGGGCCAGAGGCTGGCCAAATTCTAACAGTTTACACGGCACTGCTTTGCTGCTTGGAGAGGTTTTTGGAGGTGTGGAAAGAGCTGTCTGTCAGCATGCAGCACACACACCCTCTGTTCCCCGTTTGGTGACAGTGTAGGTTAGTGGTGTGGATTGAAATCTGTTTAAAGGAGTCCTCTTGTGAGAATGCCCCCGTCTGCCACAGTTTGACCATTTTTTAGTAACTAATGATCAAAACTTTTCTCTGACCTTCTAAAAGTGACTCAAGGAGCTGACAGTAGGCCTGGGTCTTGGTGGACTTTGCTTCTGCAGGAGCTCAGCCACCCTGGGCACTGGGGGCTGGCAGCTGGCAGTGGAAGGAGCGTCGGATGGGAGGCCAGTGACTGGGGGTGCGTTTGCTGCTCTGCAAAGGCTGGGAGGCGCTCAGGGCGTCTCTGTGGCCAAAGTGAGACCTAGCTCCCAGCATCACTGTCAGGGAAGACCCTGGCTCACCCGCTCATGTGGCAAGTGCTGGGCCCTGGACAGGCCCTGCTGCTGGCCTTCCAGAGCCTGAGCAGTGTGGATAGAGCTCTGTGCTGCAGCTCTTGGCAGCGAGGAGCGCTTCCTTGGGAGCGTGTGGCGCATGCGTGGTGTGGGCGCCTGAGAGCCTGGCTGTGCTGCCTGACACTCTTGCGACTGGGACGGGGCCGTGGCATTCACAGTGGACCCCCGAAGACACAGTGTCTGTTTCCAAACCCAATGAGGATTTCACTGTTTAATTGTGAGAGGCGTTCACAGTGGACCCCCCAAGACGCAGTGTAATTGGGAGAGGTTGGGGGGAAAGCACCTGTTTTGTGGCGTTTATTTGGCCGATTAACCAAGTGACTCATAAACACTTGAGTTTGGCTGTTTCAGAAGCTGCTGTCCTTACTCTGGGTAATTTTTGGAATCTTCAGTTCTAAATCATCGCCTCTGTCATCCAGGTTTTAGATTCAGAATCTTAGTGTTTCTACAGAGAAGGAACACAACAGTCTTCCTGCACACGACAGATGCTTCCAGCAGTGGCGCTGGCAGTCAGAGGCGCTGCGGGAACCCGGAGGCGCTGGGCCCCGGGACGGCCTCCCGCCCCGCATGGTGCCTCCCGGAGGGGGCTCAGTCCTTGGCTCCACGTGGGTCATGGAAAGGCCCTGGTGGTGGAGGAGGCAGATAGCAGGGGCCTGCGTGTGAGGTGGAGGCAGCGTTTGGGGAGACTGCGCAGGCAGGAGAGGCTGGGTTTGGGGTGGAGGTGAGTTTGCATTTGGCTTCAGACATGCCGCCTTAGAATTTGTACAACAGTCCAGAGAAATGTTCTTGGAGTGCGGGATTTGGAACTGACTCAGAAGTGAAGCGAAGTCTTGGTGGGCAGAGAGCTGTGCGTTGTTAGTGCGGGGCGGGTGAAGGCCGGGGTGGAAAGGTGGCGGGAGGGCAGGTCTCCTGGCGCCCGTGTCTCCTGGGGGTGTCATGTGTGCTGGTGGAGAGCGCCCCAGGTTGCAGAGGCCTCTGACTTGGCACCTTTGTGTGATTTTCAGAACTCCTCTGTTTTTCTGCTTTGCACATTATGTTGTGCTGTTACTCATTTCTTACTGTAATTATGTAGTTTTTGAGGTGTGCTATAGGCTCAATGGAGGCAGCTGGAAACTTGTCACAGATTTAACATTACGAGTAGGGGCTAAGATGTGTTGCAAGTTCCAGAGCGCTGAGGTTGGAGGCCTGGGGACCTTCTTATCTCCAGGGATTTACATAAGGAAGCTCCAGAAGTTCTGGGTGGGAGCCTGGTGGCCCCGGGCATGCGTGTCCGAGGTCTAGCCCTAAGCACAGACCCTAAAGGCCCCCTGGAAGGTGCAGCCTCACGAGTCGGGCAGCCTCCCTCCCTGGAGGCTTCTCTGGGTTACCCGAGTGTGACTTGAGAATCCCACCTCACACCCAGTATGCACTTTAGAGAAAGGGTGTGTGTGTATGTATATGCATATGTGTGTGTGTGTGTGTGTGTGTGTGTGTATGCGTATGTGTGTATGTGTGTGTAGGTGTGTATGCATGAGTGTGTGTGTATACGTGTGTGTACGTGTGTATGCGTGTATATGTAGGTGTATATGCGTGAGTGTGAGTGTATGTGAGTGTGAGTGTGTGTGAGTGTGAGTGTGTGTGAGTCTCATCCATGTGCGGCTGCTCCTCTGAGCAGCAGTGAGCTCTGAGGGGCAGGCGGCCTCTCGGCACCACGCTGGGCATCTCCGGAAGGCTGTGGGACCACCAGAGCCCAGCATTCCTGTACTAGGTCAGTGGGAGCAGGGCTGGCCCTGAGGGGATGGACACCCTGCCCTGTGCAGATGCCCCAGGGTGGACGCAGCCGCCCACTGCTTGCCACCTGCGCAGTCTTCTGTGGCCTTTTCTTCTAGATGATCGCCCCGTGAGAGAGAGCGAGCGGAAGGCTTCCCGACTGCATTTTGCATCAGAGGACTCACTCGACTCAAAAGAGAGCGCCCCAGCTTCTTTGAAAGAGGGCAGGTATGAACAGAAGTGCTATGGATGCCCAGAGTGTTTCTGACTGGCCTGCTGTCAGGAGGATTAACTGAACGTCGTTCGCTGTGTGCCAGTCCTCCAGGGGTGGACGCCAGGAGGGAGGAAAGCAGAGCCCGGCTGGCGGGGACTCAGTGGAGGTGGGACGGGGCCTCTCTCCCGTTCTCCGCATTGCTAGGAGTTATTTCTAATATTGAAACTGTTGATTAAGGTAATATGTGTGAAATCAACCGAGGAAAGGGCTTGTCATGTCCCTTTTCCCAGGGCTGCAGTTCTCACGTCTGTGGTCGCCTCTGCTTGTAGCTCTTGTACAGTTGCTTTCTTAGCTGTCCATCCAACCAAATCCCATTTCTGGCCATGAGCACATTCAGCAGGACCCACCTGCCTGGATAGAGGAGGACTCCTTCCTCCTCCACCTTTTCTGTGACGGTGCTGGGATGCACCCTCCTGTCTCCCTCCCCATGGCTGGTGCTGGTGAGGCCACCTCCGGGGACCATGGGCGTGTGTGTGAGCCAGGCCTGCTTCCCCTTGCAGCCCCAGCCCTGCTGCCTGCATTTCTGTGTTGGGTTGATAGTATCTACATGTATCCCAAAACCCTAGAGAGACTTCACGCTTTGTTTATGGGTTGATTCAAGGGGCAGAAATCAGGGGACTCTGTCTGCGTCGCTGTGGGAACTGGTTGGATTATACACTTTCTTGAGCGCTATTTGTCTTGTCTGAAGCTTTTAATCAAATCATTTTTTTTCTTGTGTGAGATGCTTTCACTCATTTTAAACTCCTAGTGCAGGGGTCAGTCAGCCTTTTTGTGTGAATGTTTTGGGCCCTAGAGGCTGCGTGACCTCTGTCCCATCTTCTTAGCTCTGCCTTTGCAGGGCGGAGGCAGCCATTGGCAGTATGGAAGCCAGGACGCTGTGCCCGTAAGATGCCTGCCCACAGCGCAGGCAGGGGCCCGATTTGGGCCATTCTTTGCTGACTTCTGTTCCGGTGTCTCCGAAATGGCTCTGCATCCTCGGGATCTCCTCTTCCCTCAGATACCCGCCCTGCAGCCCGCACCACCCCATTTCAGACCAGACCAGTTGCTGCCTGGACAGCAGCACTCTAGTACCCGCACCTTCTGCTCATGTGAGCCGTGCGGGAGAAGCTGTTCCGTGCCCCTCCTGGCTGCTGGTGGTCTACGCAGCTGCTGGTGTTGTCTGTCTCGGAGGGCCTCCCTCCAGCCTTGCTCTCACAAGCCGTCGTCCCCTGTGTCTCTTCACAGAATCTGCTCCGTGCCTGTCTCTCTACAGGTTTCCCCTTCTTAGAAGGACACCAGTGATCGTGGATCAGGGCCCACCTTAATGGCCTCATGGTAATTTGATTGGCTCTGTAAGACCCTGTTTCCAAGAAAGGTTGCATTCCGAGGCACTGGGCTAAGGACTTCAACATGTCTTTGGGGCAGAGGGTGGGGGGTGGCACAGCGCCAGTCCTGACACCTGGAATCCTGCACGCTGGCTGTCATCACTTGTTAGTTTCATGAGGTTTTCTCGTGGATTCTTTGTCATTTTTTACATAGAAAATCATGTCATCTGTGAAGAGTTTTATTCCTTCCTTCCGAATCTGTATACCTTTTATTTCCTTTTCTTGTCTTACTGCCTTATCTGGGGCTTCCAGCGTAATGTTGGGAAGTCTGGTGAGAGGGAGCGTCCTTGCCTCGCCCTCAGTCTTGCTGGGAGCGTCTGGTTTCCAGCGTAGCCTTGCGTCTGCTGGCCGTGGACGATGGGTGCTGTCTTCATGTGGAGAAGCCTCCCTTCTTCTCCCAGTTTGCTGAAAGGATTCATCGTGAAAGGGTGTTAGATTTTGTCAAATGCTTTTTCTGCATCTGTGATGTGATCTTGTGATTTTCTCCTTCAGCCTGTGGCGTGAAGGATTTTCAAACGTTGAACCGGGCCAGGCACAGTGGCTCACACCTGTAATCTTAGTGCTTTGAGAGGCCAAGGTAGGCGGATTGCTTGAGGCCAAGAGTTTGAGACCAGCCTGGACAACATAGCGAGACTCTGTCTGTAAGAAAACTTTTTTTTTTAAATTAACTGGTTATGGCGGTGCGTGCCTGTAGTCCCAGCTACTCGGGAGGCAGGAAGACCCCCTGAGCCTGGGAGTGTGAGACTGCAGTGAGCTATGATGGCACCACTGCACCCTAACCTGGGTGACAGAGTGAGACCCTATCTGTAAGAGAAAGAGGAATAAATGTTGAGCCAGCCGTACATACCTAGAATAAATCCTGCCTAATTGTGATATGAATTCTGTTGGATTGTTGGATTCAGTTTGCTGATGTTTTTGTTGAGGATTTTTGCGTCTGTATTCATGAGAGATACTGGCCTGTGGTTTTCTTGTATTGTCTTTGGTTTTGGTTTTAGGGTCATGCTGACCGCATAGAATGAGTTAGGATGTCATCTCTCTGCTTCCATCTTCTGGCAGATACCGTAGAGAATTGGTATAATTTCTTCTATACAGTGAGCCCATCTGGCCTGGTACTTTCTGTTTTGGAAGGTTATTAACTTGACTTGATTTCTTTAATAGAGCCCTCTACAGTTTGTCTGTTCTGGCAGATTGTTTCTTTCAAGGAATTGGTCCACCTCATCTGAGTTGTCACGTTAGTGGGCACAGATGTTCATCACATTCTTTCGTTTCCGTTGTAATGTCTCTGAGATCTGTGGTGATAACCCCTCTTTCATGTCGGTTATTCGTGTCTTCTCTCTTTTTTCTTAGTTAACATTTCCTTTGCGTGTTATGGATTTTGAACTTTGGGATTAGGGCTGCTAAACCTGTACATGGAACTCAGGCTGGCGTTTCCACAGCTACTCTTGAGCTGGGAGAGGGGCGTGGATGCGGCAGGTTGGAGTGTCAGTCATGGTCTGTGCTGAAAGCTGGCTGTTTTCCTGCACAGTTGCTAGCTGGGTTCTGAGTTCCAAAAAAGCTCATTCTGATACCTTTTCTTGTTTTTTATGTAGTTGCTTTTTATGGAGTGCTAGAATTTGGAGCTCTTTTCTCTGCCATTTTTTGCTGACACGACTCCAAATACATTTTTATTCTGATTTACGAGATCGTTTCAATTTTTTTCTCTTTTATTGTAATACACATAGGAATAAAGGAAGCACTTATTCCGCGTGGTTGGAAATGCTGTATTCTAGTCAAAAAATAGCTTATTAGTATCTTACTTGGCTTCAGATTTACTTGTATTAAAACTTTACAGTAGTATTTGATTGGTGTAAAAGTCACAAACTTCACAGAAACTGATGAAGAGAAAGGGAGTAAAAGTCTTCCCCCACCGTTCACGCTGCTGACCGTGACCAGCAGCAGCATGTGGGTGCACTTTCCTGCTTTCTCAGGGTGCGTGCAGACACGTGGCGCCACTTCACGTAAGATTACTCGTCGTACCACACGCGACTTTAACCTCTAGATGATGAGAACAGAATATTCTTCATACCGAGCAGCACAGACACGAGGGTTAGTGATTGAGACGCCCCCGGGTCGTCTTTGTGGACGTTCAGAATCATTGTGTCCTGGCATGAAAGCCTCAGTCATGGATTTTCTCACTTGAGATTGTCCACAGTTCCCATCTTTGATCATCTGAAGACTGAATTATCGTGGAGATGAGAGTTCAAGATGATGTGGGTCAATGTCCGTATCACACAGAGGAGGTGGGGGATGCCCACGGAACTGTGCTCAGTGTCGGGCTTCAGGGAGGTCTGGCCCCAGGACCCAGGCCCCCTTCTTTGTGCAGCGCTCTGGAGAACTCAAGTCACAGGCCCCGGGGAGTGGGACTGGTCTCGGGTGGACCAGGTGTCGTATCATGAGCCACTCACAAAAGCAGCGTTCCTGGTCACTGCCCTTGGGTTTGTTTTGTGTGGACATCTCTTAACTGCCTTCGTTAGAAACAAGGTCCCCTTTGAGCACATTCTCCTCTGTATAGAGGGTCACCATGCCAAGGCGGGTCGTATTGTGACACACCTCCGATTTCAGCCATTATGGAAACATTTTCCCTGAATGTGAAAGTGGGCATTTGGAACACTTAACTTTCTTGATCACGTGTATCTCCTTGTGGATATGCTAGGAAAAGCGTAATTCTCATGGTAATTTGATTGGCTCTGTAAGACCCTG